ATTACCGATAACATGATGATGATGATGATGATGATGATGATGTATATTAAGATACTGTTATTATTACAATACTGGTGGTGGTGGAGTGTTGGTGGTGGTGGTGGTGGAGTGTTGGTGGTGGAGTGTTGGCGGTGTGGAGTGTTGGTGGTGGTGGAGTGTTGGTGGTGGTGGAGTGTTGGTGGTGGTGGTGGAGTGTTGGCGGTGGTGGTGGAGTGTTGTGGTGGAGTGCTGGTGGTGGTGGTGGAGTGTTGGCAGTGGTGGTGGTGGAGTGTTGGCGGTAGTGGTGGAGTGTTGGCGGTAGTGGTGGAGTGTTGGCGGTAGTGGTGGAGTGTTGGCGTAGTGGTGGAGTGTTGGCGGTAGTGGTGGAGTGTTGGCGGTAGTGGTGGAGTGTGAATGGTAATAGAGGAGGAGTATATGAATGTTGGTGGTGAAAGGTGGGGGTGGTGGTGGTGGGGGGTGGTGGTGGTGGTGGTAGGTGTGGATGTTGGTGGTGGTGGTGAAGAGTGTGGATGGTGGTGGTGGTGGATGTGGAGCGTGTGGATGGTGGTGTTGGATCGTGTAGATGGATGGTGGTGGTGGATGTGAAGCGTACGGATGATAACGGGAGTGATGAAGAGTGTGGATGACGGTCGTGGTGGATCTTGTGGATGATCGTGGTGGATGTGGTGGATGTAGAGCGTGTGGATGATCTCTAGCCCCAGCACTTCATTATCGTCTTTCCGTACATATAAAATTCTTTCTTTCTTGTGTCGAGTCGTGTGCGCCACCCCACCTCCCCACCCCCCACCTCTCCCTCCCTCACCTCCCTCCCCCCATCTCCCTCCCTACCCCCTAGCGTGTGCCAGCGCCTCCTTGGATCAATACTGGCGCCGCCGTCTCACACCCTCACCCCCACCCCCAAACGCCCCTCTCTGACTCCTGCTTGGGCTTCCGGCGCCAAACCTCCCTCCACCATATAACCCCCACCCTCCACCCGATGCCATTCTCGTCACTTTCCCGTCTCTCCCACCCCACTGCCCCCCCTCCCCACGCCTCACTGGCACCCTCCACCAGTTCCTCTCCTTCAGCGCCACCTCCCCGCTCTCTTCGCTCTTCCATATAGGCGCTGGCTGTACTCTCTCCCTCCCTCGGGCTAATACACTCCCAGAGCACTGGCGTGGCGGGACGGCTACCTCATCCCGCAGTCCTCATTATAACTAAAGTATGATATCGTATGCCATGAATAGTACCCCTCCTCTATAGTGCCACCACAACACTCCTCTATAGTGCCACCTACAATACTCCTCTATAGTGCCACCTACAACACTCCTCTATAGTGCCACCTACAACACTCCTCTATAGTGCCACCTACAATACTCCTCTATAGTGCCACCTACAACACTCCTCTATAGTGCCACCCACAACACTCCTCTATAGTGCCACCTACAATACTCCTCTATAGTACCACCTACAACACTCTCTATAGTGCCACCTACAACACTCCTCTATAGTGCCACCTACAATACTCTCTATAGTGCCACCTACAACACTCCTCTATAGTGCCACCCACAACACTCCTCTATAGTGCCACCTACCACTTCTCTTTAGTGCCACCTACAATACTCCTCTATAGTGCCACCTACAACCTCCTCTATAGTGCCACCTACAACACTTCTCTATAGTGCCACCTACAACCTCCTCTATAGTGCCACCTACAACACTTCTCTATAGTGCCCACTACAACCTCCTCTATAGTGCCACCTACAACACTCCTCTAGGCACCTACAACACTTCTCTATAGTGCCACCTACAATACTCCTCATAGTGCCACCTACAACACTCCTCTATAGTGCCACCTACAATACTCCTCTATAGTGCACTACAACCTCCTCTATAGTGCCACCTACACCTCCTCTATGTGCCACCCCACAACACTCCTCTATAGTGCCACCTACAACCTCCTCTATAGTGCCACCTACAACCTCCTCTATAGTGCCACCTACAACACTTCTCTATAGTGCCACCTACAACACTCCTCTATAGTGCCACCTACAACCTCCTCTATAGTGCCACCTACAACACTCCTCTATAGTGCCACCTACAACACTCCTCTATAGTGCCACCTACAACACTTCTCTATAATTACACCTACAACTCCTCTATAGTGCCACCTACAACACTCCTCTATAGTGCCACCTACAACCTCCTCTATAGTGCCACCTACAACACTCCTCTCTAGTGCCACCTACAACCTCCTCTATAGTGCCACCTACAATACTCCTCTATAGTGCCACCTACAACCTCCCTCTATAGTGCCACCTACAACACTCCTCTATAGTGCCATACTCCATAGTCCACCTACAACACTCCTCTATAGTGCCACCTACAACCTCCTCTATAGTGCCTACAACACTCCTCTATAGTGCCACCTACAACCTCCTCTATAGTGCCACCTACAACTCCTCTATAGTGCCCCTAACACTCCTCTATAGTGCCACCTACAACACTCCCTATAGTGCCACCTACTTACTCTCCTATAGTGCCACCTACAACCTCCTCTATAGTGCCACCTACAACCTCCTCCATAGTGCCACCTCAACACTCCTCCTATAGTGCCACCTACAACCTCCTCTATAGTGCCACCTACAACACTCCTCTATAGTGCCACCCTACCTCCTCCATAGTGCCACCTACAACACTCCTCTATAGTGCCACCTACAACACTCCTCTATAGTGCCACCTACAACACTCCTCCATAGTGCCACCTACAACACTCCTCTATAGTGCCACCTACAACCTCTAGTGCCACACAACACTCCTCTATAGTGCCACCGTCAATGATTCTATATCCTTACTGTGCCATCCACCCCAACGTGTCATCACCCCAATACTGTTACCATGTGTCATCCACCCCAACACAGTCTCATCCCACCCCACACAGTGTCATCCACCCCAACACAGTGTCATCCCACCCCACAGTGTCATCCATCCCCTCACAGTGTCATCCACCCACACAGTGCTATCCACCTCCACAGTGTCATCCACCTCATAAACATCCACCTCCACAGTGTTATCCACCCCCGAACCGTGTCATCCACCCACACAGTGCTATCCACCTCCACAGTGTCATCCACCTCATAAACATCCACCTCCACAGTGTTATCACCCCCCGAACCGTGTCACCCACACAGTGTCATCCACCTACATAGTGTCATCCACCTACACAGTGTCATCCGGAACCACACCTCACCATATAACACCATCTGTGGGGAATTACTACACACGAGGCCCTCATAACACCATCTGTGAGGAATTACTACCGCGGCCCTCATAACACCATCTGTGGGAATTACTACACCACGTGAGGCCCCTCATAACACCATCTGGGGAATTACTACACCACGTGAGGCCCCTCATAACACCATCTGTGGGAATTACTACACCACGTGAGGCCCCTCATAACACATCTGTGAGGGTACTACACCACGTGAGCCCTCATAACACCATCTGTGAGGAACTACTACACCACGTGAGTCCCTCCTAACACCGTCGGGAGGGAGTTACTACACTACGTTTTGCTGTTCAACACCTACATTAATCTGTTTACTGTATGTTCCTTTACCTCTCTAATAAGGCTTTGTTAAACCACCAGTGTATGTAATAAGTCATTTATGTCCAATGTATATTTCAGCCTTCGGGCTGCAGAACTTTCAATAAACCGTTAATTATTATTATTATTATTATTATACTCCTTCACAGACCCTTCACAGTATAAGAGTGTGTAGTGCTAATTATTTATAACTGTTTATATAAGTTCTAGGATTGGAAATGAGAACGTTTTAAACACACACACACACACACACACACACACACACACACACACACACACACACACACACACACACACACTGTAAACCAGAACAACAATCTCAGCTCACGCACGATACACTAAATGATAAGTATTGCTTTACGAGCGAAGGTTTCCCCCATTGAGTGAATAAATGTATATTTGATAGTTAATTCACAACTAAGCAACATAATAGAGCATTGCAAAAAAATAATTAAATAGTCTACAATTTTCTTTACATGATGATTAAAAATGCTTCTCATTCAATTTAATTTCATAGGTTTTTATATTTTGTTATGTAGTGGTCAGTGTATTTAGCTTTGGTTGGAGTAAACTTGGCCAGCTCCCTGTACACTAGGCTGAAATATTATGTTGTGTAGAGCAAAATGGTCATGAAACCCATAAATTAAAGGAACAAAATATAAAGATCAGGGAGTTTTGAAGCAATCTGTATTACCATATCAATACTACTCAAGATTAGGATAATATTTGTCTCATCTTTAAGTATTTTTCTTATGATGGGTAGAGGCGCATTTCAGTGGCTTATCCGTTGACTGTACAGGCCAAACTATTTGTAAAAGTGAATATTATAACACTAGTCCACTGATAATGAGATAATGATATTCCAATTATTATTTTCCACTCAACAAACTTCATCACCTTAATAGTAGAAAGACCTATGAGGAAGATAGAAATTGTTAGGTAAAATAGATCAAAATTGTTTCTGTGTTGGTGTTTCGTTAATGGTGCTATAGACACAGAGAAAATTATTATACTGTCAGGAAATTGTATATGAATTGCATCACAAATATTGACAATATAATTCACTATACAGCTACTCAGTAATGTTTTAAATTGGGGTAACCTAACCTAACCTAACCCACAAGAACTAAGTGTACCCTTAATATTTGGCCTGAATACATTTGGTTTTTAAGATATATACATAATTTCCAGCCGGGTGGGTACCATTTACATAATTTTCAGGATTCTAGCCAAATTTACTGTATTTTTTTTCGTGGCATTTTTTTTAGTTCCGTCACTGAGAGCTAGCAGATACTATCCGAGCAAAACAAACTCTTGGACATTAAACATAACTACAGGTAACTTTAGAATAAATAACCACAAAATCAAAATAGGAAAATAAGTTTGTAAATATTTGTAGGGAAATGAAAAGATGGCAGTGGGATATGCTGGGATTATGAGGAAGTAAGATAGATTCAAATAGCATGAGAGAGGTGTTGGCGTTCTTGTAGACCAGAGAGCAGGAGAGCTTGGTTTATGGATGAAGTCTTAGAAAAAAAAAACAGATTTAAAGAAGGAAAAAGACATCGTAAAGTTTAATGAATGTACCACAGAAATACTTGAAATTTACAGAAAAGGGAAGATTAGTTATTTTGGTTATATAATTAGGAATGAGGAAGATAATAGCAGGAATATTAATTGTAAAAGTTGAGGGTATTGGAGAGCTAGGGGAAGGCAGATACTGGGATGGATGAATAAAATTAAAAACTGGGACCCCGGAGACATACAAAACCTTAGATGATTGGTTAAAACAGCCCGAGACGGTACTCTGATTGGTTGAACAATATCCTGATAGCAGTCCCCACGTCATACGTACTTTACACAGGATAAGAGCGTAAAACAAACCCTACCTACAGTTTCAGCACCAAAGAAATAAGTGACGTCACTCAGGTAGCTAACACCCACGCTCTGATTGGCTGGGTCAACGGGTCATATTAAGCCGTATTAAGTGGTCTGTGGGAGGGCAAAACAGGTCACATTGTGTTGGTAGGAGGTGGTGTGAGGTTGTCTGTGGTCAGATACTGTGATCATCATTTACAAAAACACAGATGGAAAGTAGCAAATGGAAACCTGTGGTTGTAATAGTGTGGTGTGTTACTGGCGTGTGGTGTTCCCGGTAAGTGTGATGTGTTTCAGTAGTGTGTGGTATAGTATGGTGGTGTGGTGCTTTAATAGTGTGTGGTAGTGTGGTGTTTTAATAGTGTGTGGTGGTGGTGGCAGTGTAGTGTGGTTTTTTACTAGTGTGTGGTGGTGGAAGTGTGGTGTTTTAATAGTGTGTGGTGGTGGAAGTGTGTTTTAATAGTGTGTGGTAGTGGTGGTAGTGTGGTGTTTTAATAGTGTGGTGGTGGTGGTAGTGTGGTGTCTTAATAGTGTGTGGTGGTGTTGGTGGTAGTGTGGTGTTTTAATAGTGTGTGGTGGTGTGTTGTTTTACTAGTGTGGTGTTTACTAGTGATTGACACACCAGACACAAGGCTATACTAGTGTTGGGTGTTGTGTTGGTCGGCCTGATACGCTAAAATTTCTTTGTGTTACAGGCGAGGCAACACCGTGGCGAGGACTGGTCCAGAGGTAAGACCCTTCCTCTGTAATGCAACACTGCTTAAGCGACACTGCATCTACACGTCATCAAACTGATATTTACTACTTTTTGTATGGCTGTGTATGATGTATCTCGTATATTTAACTTACATGTGTGTGTGCAGGCTGTGTCGTGATCGTGTTGTGCGTGTGCAGACCAAAAACTCCTATTGGCAGCGTGTTTGTCCCGTCACATGGGTATAGTGGTGTTATCCCAGAGCTGATAGAAGTATTTAAGTGGGTGAAAGGAATCAATAAAGGCGATATAGATAAAGTTCTTATAATATCCGAGCAGGATAGGACTCGTAGCAACGGATTTAAGTTGGATAAGTTTAGGTTTAGGAGGGAGATAGGAAGGAACTGGTTCACAAATAGGGAGGTGGACGAGTGGAACAAGCTTAGCAACTTTGTAGTAAGTGCGGGAACGCCGGAGAGTTTTAAAAGGAGGCTAGATAGATTCATGGATGATAGAGAGTGGTAGTAACTCTCGACAGGAGCTGCCATGCACAGGCCAACCGGCCTATTGCAGACTCCTTATTTTCTTATGTTCTTATCCCAGAGCTGAGATTCGTGTCACCTTCGTCGCATAGTTTCATAACAGGTGTGTGTAGGACCAAGATGTTTCAACATTATTCAACCATGAAAATACTACCATGCATTCTGATCGGCTTCACCCACCTAATACGGGGCAAGTGGTTATGTGGACCACTTTAAGACCACGTGTTACTCCACTAACTCGGGGGTAAGTGGTTAAGCTGGAGGAGAGATGAGACCCCTCCCTCCGGTCTCCCCATTTGAGATACTTAAGATCCAAATTGGTTTCTGGGCTCCAACTGTTGACCTGTCGTGATGTGTTAATGGTGACTGACCTGACCTACCTGGCGCTGAATGGGTTCGGTAGTGAAAGTGGGGTGTGTGTGTCGTTGTGGTAGTGGTATTTCCTAGCTTGGGGGCATTAATATAACCTAACCTGGGTGCGCTATGACATGTTACAGGCATGACCCTTGAGCTGAACTGGAGCTGCGTCTGTATTGTGCTGTAGTTTGTAGTAAGTAAAGAAATAAGGTAATTATCTATAACTCAGGTATGACGCGACACACCCCTGAGAATAACTGCCTTAGTTACTGGATGGCAAAAGGTTACATTCACTCATTACAACTAAATAACAACTGGTAGCTTACTTGACCTCCTTCGACCTCTGAGGCCAAAGTTTACTCTATTCCCTTGGGTTAGGTTACAATGATGCTTTAACCTTTCTTGTCGTCTTAGTGCACTTACTGAATCACGTGTTCCTTGTGTCATTGCTGTAAGACCTGTGAATCAATCAACTTGTTTACATCACAATGTTTGGCAGCTTCTGGTGAAAATAACTACACCACAAATAACTCAAGTTTTTAGCAGGTTAAAATAATGGTCGTCTTGATTTATATTGTTTTGTTGTGTTGTTACTCATTCTAATATAATGAAAAATTGGATCACCTGAAGAATCATCACCCCGCCCACAATCAATACACCCTAACGTAACCTAACCTGACCCCACTTGAAGAACAGTCACCCCGGCCTACTCTGGGGTGACGACTCTTCAGGTGATCTGCAAAATTTAACAATGCTACAATATTTACAACATTTCGTATGGGTATTAAAGAATTTAAAAGGAATACGGTGATGTTACAGGTGCTAAAGTGAGTATTATACACAATGATTATTAAAGTCATCAACAATAAAATATTTACAATTAATTATCTTATTTTGAAATGCTATCGATTTTTTATTATTTTATAGTTGGCAGCTTTTTATTTGGTATTTGTTTCATAAATGATCTATTTTGTTGTATTTATGTTTTCATTGTTGTTTTTTTTTCAGATTAACTATTACAATACTTGTTATAATTTTTAGTAATGCGTCAAAAAAAATTCTTCCTGTAATTTTGATGAGTGTTGGCAGGTGATCCTAAGGCGTCCATGTTCTACGACAGAGTTTTGATCGCCTCTCGTCAAAGTCGTTTAATATATATGGTCATCCTGTGTAAAATTAGGCGGTAAAAAAAAAAATCGAAGGACACCATGAGGACCAAACCAAGATCACTCTCTATTTCTACCATAAGAGTTAATGGTAGGTGGTACAGTACTACCATACCTTCCCTCCTCTATGTGTGTGATGGTATTGCAGGCGGATCTGGCCCTTACGGAGAGCATCATGGCAGGGGTACAGTTGGCAGTGGTCGAGTGTCAGACGCAGTTCAGGTGGGAGCGGTGGCCCTGCCCAACAACAGCCTTCACCAACGTGTAAGTGTTGTCGTGTTTTTTAATTATTTTAAGCTGTTGTGGAAATTGTTGGTTATAATGGAATTATGTTAACAATGCTAGAGTACACTTGTCCTACACCTACAGTCTTCGTGAGGGTCGTCTTGTTATGTACATCTTTTTTTTTTTTTTTAAAGACCCGCGGCCAAGCTAGTGACGAGAGAAGATGCCTTCGTGCAGGCCATCAGAGCTGCGGGGGTAACCTTCACCATCACCAGGAACTGCTCTCGGGGACACCTGGCCGACTGCTCCTGCGCCCAGGATACACCAGATACCAACCAAGCCTGGAAGCGGCACGGCTGCTTTGACGATGTTCGAAGTGCCTTACAGATGACAAAAAAGCTCTTGGATACCAGAGAAGCAGGCCAAGACGCCCAGGGCCTGGTCAGCCTTCATAATAACCAGGCCGGGAGAATGGTAGGTTCATTACTAAACCAAGCAGTGTGATGCACTACTTGGATAGAAAAAATATATAACAACAACTATTTTTAAAATGTCCGATCTTCAGAACTTGGTAACTTTAAGCTCTGCTCTAAAGGAATATATGCTGTTTGGAAGCGTTTCCCTGGTGTTCCTCTTCATTATTACACTACGTTTCCCACGGAACGGGTCAGTTGTAGTTTATGAATTGTTATGCTTGCTAAAGTGGTTCTAATTTGGTGTTGTCTTCCTCAAGGGCGTGAACCGCGCTACACGTAAAGTGTGCAAGTGTCATGGAGTGTCAGGCTCGTGCGCCATCCAAACCTGCTGGCTCCGTCTGGGAGCATTCACAAGTGTGGGTAGAGCATTAAAGAATCAGTACCGGCGCGCTATCAAGCTAAAGAACAGTAACACTCTGGCGATGACCACAAACGACGCGGTGGCCCCGCCCCTGGACGAGGGCACCGCTATCCCCACCGTGAACCCGCGCCGACTTGTTTACCTGACTCCTTCACCTAACTACTGCCAGGTCAACCAGACCGCTGGTGAGTCTTACTACATCATGGATAACTATATATCGTTCTCTTTTTCTGTCTTTCCTATTATTGGTAGTTCATTTGTCTTAACATATTCCTTCTGACTTATTACATTTGCTTCCATAGGCCTTATTACAGTGACCTTAGGTACCAGTACTCGAGAGGAGCAACTCAAGATCCAACACGATATCTAGTTCAGGACTAATGCCCTTCCTCCCTCAGGTTGGACAGGGACTGGCGGACGAGAGTGCTCGAAGACGCAGGGTGAGGGCGTGCCGCGCGAGCAAAGGAAGTCCTGCCGCAAGTTGTGTCGGGAGTGTGGGCGGCAGGTCATGGTGACCGTCACTTCCATCACCGTTTCCTGTAACTGTCAGTTCAGGTGGTGCTGTGAGGTGATGTGCGACACATGTGTTAAGAATTTGGTGAGTTACACCTGCTCCGACACGAAGAGGCGCTCCTGATGTACTACACCTACGACTACGCCAGCCACTGATCGGCTCGTTAGCCGGTGTGTGTGTTTAACTGAATATGTTCCAGACTGTCAGTCTACAGTATAAAATGTTTAGTAAAATCAAATTTCACAATAAGGAAGCACAAATTTCAGTGGACACATATGTTAATACAAGTTTTTGTTATCTTATAATATTAGTTTGATTTTCGAAAATACAGACGGTGGACACATTGTCTGGTATGTATACTTCTGTACATGAATTTAGTTTCCTACTTATAGTATTTAATAAATATAAGACAAAGTCCACAGCCTTTAGCCTTTGTCCTCAAAATATATGCTCGCATTATTTTCTCAACATGACTTGGGTCATGCAGTCTTCTTAGTGTTAGCCAAGCTTCTAGAGACCAACAAATTACACCATGAAGAAATTGTGATTGAAATTAAAATGAGAACAGTTACCCATTTAATCTGTTTTCTTCCACCAGCCTTTATGTGCCACAGAAAACGTAAATATTTTAGGAAGTTAAGACAGACTAAAGAAAGTCTGTCGCTGAGCCATATTTTTAATTTCCCTCTATGTTCCATTTTCCTTGTACAGGGACACCAAACTTCATCTTCTACCCCATCTCAGAGGCTAAGGTACTATGTAACGCATTAATATTAGTTATATTAAACACGTCTTAATCACCAAGTCGAAATGTCAATGACCAAAATAAAGTAATTTCAGGAATTAATGAACTATCTTCACTAACACCTTCACTAGTGGACTTTGAATATTTTAATTGGCTAGCACCAGGCTTTGAGAGGGGGGGGATAACGTCAGACGATATTAATTAGCACAGAAACTCAAGGGGTTAAATTAAAAATAATGCAATTTTGTACAGTAAACTAAAATATTTTCTAACTATGTTGTTTGATAATACCTTTCGAGAGTGGTCCGCCCTTAGTAACAACTTTAGGACATATCCCCATTAATATGAAAGCTTTCTACCCCGAAAAACTATCAAAATATACAGGGGCAATGAGTTTTACGTAATTTAACTTTTACTATATTTTACGTTTTTGTATCCCGGAGGAGCTGCCTCGGTCAGCCATGTTTACTTTCTGAAGAAAAGAATTTTATCTCAATTTTTTTTTAATAACTTTGGAATAGTGTATTTACTAACCCTGTAACGCGCTTAAAGCCCTTAGTTGTTGAAGCGCCAACTTCACCTAAGATACTACATTATTTTTTTATAAAATACAATTTGAGCAGCCTTCATGCTGTCTCTCAGATCTTAAAAACAAAATGCCCAGCCGTTTGTAGTAATGAAACAAACACAAAAAACTTTAGTCAGCAAGAGTGGAAGGATACAAGAGTAGTTTTAAAGAATATAGGAACAATGACAAGTAAACATTTTTGTGCATCCAATGGAAAATTCTAATACAACACAAACAAAAAAACATGAGGGAAAAAATTAAGTGTAGGAATATAATAGAAACCCTTACCTTACATTATCCCCTTAGCTACTGTAGTGGTTGACATTCCATCTGGTCGGGCGGTCATTTCCTCTGTTAAGGCGGCGTCACCCAAGCACTTTTTGCGTCAATTTTCTGAAGGACTCATTTTTCTGAGCGCGTCCTGCCACTAAAGACACTACTATCTTTGGTGTCACTTGTAAACACATGTGCTCCTAATGTAAAAAAACAGATGTATTTTGGAATATTAACACCCCCAAAAAAATTTACTCCTAAGAAATTTATTAAAATGTGGTACTAAATAACTTTAATATTAAATTGAATTATTTTACGTGGTTCGATATTTTATTATATATATATTTATCCACTTTTTCGACTATGGATCTTGATTTAACAACAGAAATTGACGCAAGTTCATTAGGAGGAAACGTGGAAAGATGACAACGCATGAAAAAAAATCATTAATTGCTAGTGTGACGCCGCCTACTCAAGATAAATTAACTCAGTAAATTTTCTACTACCTTATGAATTTTGTTTTGTTTTTTGTTTTACTTGAGACTTTGACCTCTAGTGCAGTAACCAGTTTGGAACTTTGGCGGCCCTCTTTTGAACCTTCTCAATCAACTGGAAGTCTTGTATACATCTCGGGGACTAAACAGAATGACAGTACTCCTAGAAGGGCCAAGAAAGATCATTTTGAAGGACGGACCATCTAGGTATGTGTATTATATTGTATAAATTCTACCATAAACCTGATTCACCGTCTCGTAATTATCTGAAAACGGTAACGGTTAAGTTTTGGACCATAATCCTTCTGAAGATGAAGCTTACGTTTTCCCGACGGTTTTTGATGAGTTTTATTCGATTTTGATTATTGATTTTCGTCGGAAATCACTCGTTTTTGAGATAACCTCCCCCCCCCCCCGCCACACACACAGCCAAAACGAATGATTTCCGACGAAAATCAATAATCAAAATCGAATAAAACTCATCAAAAACCGTCGGGAAAACGTAAGCTTCATCTCCAGAATAATTTTGAGACCTAACCTAACCTAACCAAACAAATCTAACCTAACCGAACCAAACAAACCTAACCTCACCTAACTGAAGGCATTATTTCAAGTGAACAACCAACGTCGCAATCACGTGACACGATGACGTGATAAACCTGCTCCCACCCAAGATGCAGTTCGAATTTGATTGGCTGCTATAATACTTAAATATTGTTGGCTGTGACCCGATCTGACTTGCGCACTTAAGCCGTGACGTCACGGTCGACACGTTAACGTGGACGAAGACCGACCCATGTGTAGGAGTAAGATGAAAAATAACTTACATTCTTAACAACATAAGAAAGGAGGAAACAACCAGCGGGCCTATTGGCCCATACTGGGCAATCCCGTTTACAACCAACCCCTGTCTCTCATATCAACCTATGTTTGAAGCTGTCCATCGTATTCGAGTTAATGATGATGTTTGGTAACTTGTTCCACTCATTCACTACTCTATTTACAAACCAATGTTTACCTATTTCGCACCTAAATCTAAATTTGTCTAATTTAAAACTATTGCTACGAGTTCGCTCCTAGTTGGATAGTTTGAGTACCTTTGTTATGTCACCTTTGTTTAGCCCTGACTGCCATTTATACACCTTGATCATATCGCCCATCGCCCCTCACTCTACGTCTCAAGGTTCCTAATGCCCGGGATTAGTCTTGTCATTCTCCCCTGAATTCCTTCTAGGGATTCTACATCCATTCTGTAGTAAGGTGACCAGAACTGAACTGCATAATCCAAGTGAGGTCTGACAAGCGCAAGATATAGTTTTAGGATAACCTCGCTAGTCTTGTAACTAACACTCCTCTGTATGAACCCAAGTACTTTATTAGCCTTGTTTCGAGCAAATACAGTGTGGCAGCCCTGTGCGTGTTTACATTTGACAGAAGGAAACTAGCAATAACAAACATACTGTGGACTCATATTAAAACAATATTAAAACAAATATCTCAAAGATAATGATTTGTGGAATTTTTATATGACGAGCCCCTGTAAACGCACTAGTGAAGGGGAGTGTACAGTAGCTAAAGCAAATATCTGTGCATACTTTGTGGGAAACAATATGAGGCAATGGATGATAAACTTTGGCATATGAGGGCTGTCACTAGTCACCCGTAAAGTCTCGGAGCATATCAACCCCACCTGCACAGATAGTTGTTTTAGCTATTGTTACATATGTTTTGGATCAGTGGAAATTTCCTTGTTCAATGACGTAATTGGAAAACCCGTCTGCGGCCACAACAACATCCGTGTAGATAGGATAGTTTAGTTACCAAGGCTACAATAACGACAATGGGGTCAGTTGCACGTAAACAAGATAAGACGTTTGATAACTTGAAGGACCTGAGGGCAAGCTCTTCAGGATGGAACTCCCTGATATAAGACAAACTCCTTATCTCTCATCAACTAGGTGGATCACTTATCGATCATAACTTAGCCGCTCAGTAAGTGTATTAATGGGCATACAAATCCTCTTCAACATAAGAACATAAGAAAATAAGGAGTCTGCAATAGGCCGGTTGGCCTGTGCATGGCAGCTCCTGTCGAGAGTTACTACCACTCTCTATCATCCATGAATCTATCTAGCCTCCTTTTGAAACTTTCCAGCGTTCCCGCACTTACTACAAAGTTGCTAAGCTTGTTCCACTCGTCCACCACCCTATTTGTGAACCAGTTCCTTCCTATCTCCCTCCTAAACCTAAACTTATCCAACTTGAATTCGTTGCTCCGAGTCCTATCCTGCTCGGATATTATAAGAACTTTATCTATATCCCCTTTATTGATTCATTTCACCCACTTAAATACTTCTATCATATCTCCCCGCACTCTTCGTCTTTCTAGGGAATGCAAGTTAAGTTTCTTTAACCTATCCTGATATGGAAGGTTTCTAAGTCCCGGAATCATTTTTGTCATTCTTCGCTGCACCGACTCTAGTGAATTTATATCCATTCTATAATAGGGGCACCAGAACTGAACCGCATAATCGAGGTGCGGCCTGACTAGCGCAAGATATAGTTGCAATAAGACCTCTGCACTCTTGTTACTTACACTTCTAGATATAAAACCCAATACTCTGTTTGCCTTATTTCGAACATTAACGCACTGTTTTCTAGGCCGTAGGTCCGGGCTTACAAGTACCCCTAGGTCTCTTTCACAAGTCGACTTCTCTAGGTTGGTGTTGTTAAGGCTGTATACATTATAAGTATTTATTCTTCCAATATTAAGTACGCTGCACTTGCTGGTGTTGAATTTCATTTGCCATTTTTCAGACCACCCCTGCAGTTTATTTAGATCCTCCTATAATGCATTAGCATCCTGCCCTGAATTAATTTGCCGCCCTATTTTGGTGTCATCCGCAAACTTGCTTCAACACTAGATCAACAAACACAAGTAAAATAAAAACAAAAAACAATCGATATCTTCTCCCCTATATATGTTTGCAGACGACGTTAAGCTATTCAGGGAAATTAAGAACCGAATGGACAGTGAAGCTATAGGAAGACCTCTTTTGGATTCAGTTGTGATCAAATGACTGGTTACTTAGATTCTACGTTACACAAGGAAAGATAATGCAGCCAGGTTATACTAACAGCAAAGAGATGTATCACATGTCCCATTAACAAACTTAAATGTAAAGAGAACATGGGTGTTGACAACGAACTGAAGTTTTCGGGGTAGAAGTCTAACTCGTCAAATTAGATGACATTTTCTTTTATGGCATTTCCGTCGCAAATGAATAATAACCGAAATATGGGGCACAGTGGAAGATGGGCACGATTATGATGTTGTATATTTCGACTTTAGCAAAGCCTTCGACAGAGTCCCCCCACGAAAGACTAATACGAAAAGTAGAGGCTCCTGGCATTGGAGGAGATATTCTAAAATGGATTAGGGCGTGGTTACAGGACAGGAAACAACGAGTGAGCATT